CATTCTCATCCTCCTCGTCTTCCTCCTCCTCCTCCTCCTGCACCTCTTCCTCCTCCTCCTCTTCATCCTCCATATGCTTCCCCTTCTGCCTCCGATTCCTCCTCCTCCTCTTCGAAATAGCCGCGACAATATCTGCTGTCGAGTCCTGGGCTGCATGCACCGCATGCTGCGACACTTCCCTGGTCAAGGCTGTTCGCCTGGGGATTCTAGAATCATCGCTGCTTGAACCCAGCAGCGCCTGAGCACCGCTGTGACTCTTAGCACCCATGCGCCTGAATACTAGTACTGATAGCTAGCACAATAACGCAGAGCACCTCATGATCAGCTGGACGCACGCCCCAAGATGCCCCCCGACGGGCTCCAATATGGCAGTGAAATATTCCAGTGCAGTCACTATGTGGCTTGTTCTGAAAGGGGGGCGGCGAGGGCGCAACTCTCCACACCACTTCGCCCAAATGTTTGGCACGATCAACCAGCGTCGCCCCTCGCGAAACGAGAAGATGTATAACATTGCGCGCCACTGCAGCGAACATGTACCCTCCCTTACAACAGCACGTGCGAAGATAATGTATCATTCGAAACCATATGTTTTCTGCGCTCGCACTGGGCGCATCAATGTTGAAATGATGTCCCACGCGACGCAATCATGTTCTTCTTGCTTCGACCCGTATTCCCATCAGTATCGAAAGGACGTCCCGAACGATTCGCTTATGTCGATCCTGTTTGCAAGCAAGTCCAAATCAGATGTTCGAAAACGTCCTGCGCGAAACGCTCATTGTCTTTTGGTTTCGAACCAGGCGCGCGCATGCATTGTGAGAGGGCACCCCGCGAAAGTCGCTCGATTCCAAATCACACTTCGGAGGAGGTCCCGTATGAATCTCACACTTTTCTATTGTTTCGATCCGAGGCCGAATTTGGTTCGAACATGCTTTTCGAGGAAGTGTCGCACAATACGCTTATTGTGTTCATTGTTTGGAAGCGAGCTCGAACCTGATTCGATATTGTTATTCGAGGAAGTCCTGTGTGAGATGCTTACTTTTCCATTGTTTGGAACCGACTTTGGAATATGGTTCGAACCTGCTTTTCCAGCATGTCCCGCACGATGCGCGCACTTTTTTATTGTTTGGATCCGACTTTGGTACCTGGTTCGAACCTGTTTTTCCTTTGCCGATTTCTACTGTTTGGAACCGACTTTGGAACCTGGTTCGAGGTTTTGTGTGCGATGCTCCGCGCGGTTTGCTGTTTTGGAGCCGTCATCCCATTTGTCCGTGTAACAGTTTACTTGGAGGTGCAAGCCCAAGGTTGTCCGCCCCCCGCTGACGCAGGTCCGCTTCCGTCACGCTGTGCCGGGCTCCGCGCGCATAGCGGGGCACTTTCGATCCGCGCCGGCGACGTTCGCGCTAGTGAGCGTAAGGGCAGCGTGTCAGAGACCTCTCCGTGTCGCAAAGCATGAAGGAGACGCCGCACAGGATAATGTACATATTGCCAGGTTGGCCCACCAACTACACGAAACCAGCATGCCGACGATCACTTCGGCCGAAGCTCTACAGAGACTCAAGATCGTCATCCATGTGATCTCCAACGCATCAAGTTGGTCCAGTATCAGATCAACCACTACGAGATGGCACTCGCAGCGGCGTCCTTTCTGACCGACCCGAGCCAGCAACTCACGCGCGCCATCGAGAACGACCGCGCCGCGCTCATGGACACAAGCGCCCAGGACATCATGGGCGGCATCTCGGAAAAAGACCCTGAGGGAGGAGGAGGAGGAGGAAAAGGAGGAGGAGGAGGAGGAGGAGGAGGAGGAGGAGCAGGAGGAGGCGGAGGAGGAGGAGGAGGAGATAAGAACGGAAATGTCGGCATGAAAAAAGGGGCGCCCAGGTTGTCTGTCGCCCTCCACCTGGGCACTGCGAGAGAAACCCTCCGCACGTGCGCAGCCCCCCTGCGTGTCGCCGCCAGGGCCGGTGGCCGACGCGCCCAGTCCTGGAGGAGGTGGATCCCTCCCCCTCTTCCTTCTCCTCCTCCTCCTTCCCCTCCTCCTCCTTTCCCTCCTCCTCCTCCTCCTCGACCTCACCCTCCTCTTCCACCTCCTCCACCTACTCCTCTTCCTCTTCCTCCTCGTCCTTCTCGTCGTCGTCGTCCTCCTCCTCCTCCTCCTCCTCTGCCCCCTCCTCCTCCCCTTCATCTTCCCCCCTCCTCCTCCCTCCTCCTCCTCCCCCTCCTTCTTCTCCTCTTCTAGTGTGGCTCACCCGACTCATCAGTTGTTTTGCTACTCACAAAGGTATCAACAATACACTACAGTCTCTCTCCTCCTGCTCTTCGACATCATCATCCTCCTCCGCGACCCTCTCCTCTTACTCCTCTTCCATTGTTTCGTCCTCGGGGGGGAGGTGCAAAAAGAGGGATGGGGACGGGGAAGGGGAGGATGGGCTCGGTGGCAGGTACCGCGCAACGGTGCAGATGGGGCTGACCGAATTCAGCGAGCAGGAGGCGTCCAGGGGAGAGGAGGGGGAGTCCCGGAGGGCGAGGAGAAGGGAGGAAGAGGAGGAGGAGGAGGAGGAGGAGGAGGAGGAGGAAGAAGAGGAGGAGGAGGAAGAGGAGGAGGAGGAGAGGATGAGGAGGAGGAGGAGGAGGAGGAGAAGGACCAGTGTAAACCCTCCCTCCAAGTTCCTGCTTCCTAGGTCTCTACAAGAGTTCTATAGGCTTACGCCAAGTCCGCCGACCCCTCTATAAACTACTGCGTCAAGTTCAGGGTAGTGTGTGGCACGCTCTGGGATGTCCGTTGGGATCTCGTGTCGAGGATTCTCGCGGACCTCTTCGAGGCAGTTTCGAAGGGTCTTGGGGACCGTTTTGGGGCTTTTTTTGGGCCTCTTGGGGGCTCCTTGGGGCCTCTTGGGTGCCTCATGGGGGCCTCTTGGGGCCGCTTTGGGGCCGCTTGGGTCCTCCGGAGAGCTTCGTTGGGCGGAGCGCTGGAATTCGCGGTTCGTGGTCCCTCTCTTGGGCCCTTCTTGGGGCCGTCTTGGAGCTCTCTTGGGCCGTCTAGGGCGCCTCATGGGACACGTTGGAGTTCCACGTTGGAGTTCTTGTGGGTTGTCTTTTGGGCTTCTGGGAGCCTCGTGTCCTAGGTCTCTACAAGAATTTGTGTTCTTCACGGGAAGTGTTTCATTGAAAGACTATCGTCGGATAGTTCCCAATCGTGCCATTCCTGGGACAACGCCGCGAATCATCGTGACAGCTGCGTCCTAACAATCCTAAATTGTGTCAGAACGCAGTCCTGGGACTTCAACACCGAGCATTAACGTGACCGTTGCGTCCTGACAATCCTAAGCAGCGCCACAGCACCATTCCTGGGAATCCGACCCTACGAACCCTTGTGACTGTTGCAATTTTTGAAGACGAGTGAGTGCGGCGGCGGCGGAGGAGGAGGATGAACAGGAGGAGGATGCAGATAATGTCGATGATGATGACGATGATGCTGATGCTGATGTTGATGTTGATGATGATGATGGTGATGCTGATGATGATGAGGATACTGAATATGCTGCTGCTGCTGATGATGATGCTAGTGCCGATGATGCTGCTGCTGATGATGATGCTGGTGCTGATTGTGATGCTAATGCCGATGATGATGATGAGGTTTATGATGAGGGTTATGATGATGCGGCTGCTGATTCTGATGATGACGACGATAATGGCGACGATTATGATGATGGTGATGATGATGCTGATGATGATGGTGATGCTGTCGCTGATGCTGATGATGATGCTGAGGATTATGCTGATGCTGCTGATGCTGTCGCTGATGTTGATGACGATGCTGATGCTGATGGCGATGATGCCAATGATGATGATGTTGATGGTGGTGGTGATGGTCAAGTTGAAGACATTGGTGGTGGTGGTGATGATGCTGATGATGATGATGCCGATGTCCGTGGTGGGATTTCGGATTCGGATTCGGATGATGATGATACTGATGATGGGGAGGATGACGACGACAGCGACGTTGATCATGATGCTGCTGATGATGATTATGATGATGATGATGCTGATGCTGATGCAGGTGATGATGATGCTGATGCTGATGATGATGTTGGTGATTATGATGATGCTGTTGATGTTGATGGTGGTGGTGGTTGTGATGGTGATGGTGGTGATGATGATGATGATGCGCATGATGATGATGATGATGGTGGTGATGATGATGTAGATTATGATGGTGATGATGATTGTTGATGATGATGATGATGATGATGATGATGATGATGATGATGATGATGGTGGTGGTGGTGGTGGTGGTGGTGGTGGTGGTGATGATGATGATGATGATGATGATGATGCTGCTGATGATGATGATGATGACGATGATGATGACGATGATGATGCTTAGGCAAGGACTCGTTTGAAAATCCTGAACCGTGCCACCACACCATTCCTACGGAAACAACGGTTACTGCTGCGTCCGGACGATCCTGAATCAGACTGCCTTTATTGGGATTTCAACACCGCGAAGTAAAGTGACTGCTGCGCCCTGACAGTCCTACAGTGCACTAAAAACATTTTTGCTGGGACGCCATCCATGCTAATCATTTGCACTGGTGTAAGCTCTTGCAACGAGTCTGCGCGGCACTGATGCGGGAACCACATTTCTACGAGGAGCCGTTCTCCATCCGTGAAGCTCTTGCACATTTAAAAAACGAGTGAGCGCGACGCTGGGCGATAATCACATCTTGAGAACGGCCCGCCCTTCATCCATGAAGCTTCTGCATTTTCTCAAGAGGAATGTGCGCTGCGCTGAGGCGAGAGCCGCATTTTGAAAACGGCCCGCCCTGAATCCGTGACGCTCTTGCATATTCTTAAGACAAGTGTGCGCAGCGCTCAGGCGACATCACCTTTTGAAAGCAGCCCGCCCTCTATCAGTGTAATATAACGAATGTGCACGGCGCTAAGGCGAGAGCCACATGTTGAAAACCACCCGCCCTCAATCCGTGACGCTGTTGCCAATTTTAGCTTCAGGGTCATAAGTGGTGGGGACGTCTCAGGCGAAACGCCCAGCCCGCCCTTTCGACGCGTCTCGTGGTGCGACAGGAAGGAGTTATTCATGAGGAAAAGGGAAGGAGGAGGAGGAGAAGCGGGAGGAGGAGGAGGGGAGGAGGAGGAGGAGGAGGAGGGGGAGGAGGAGGATGATGATGATGAGGAGGAGGAATAGGAGGAAAAGACGGCGAGGCGGAGGAGGAGGCGGAGGCAGAGGCGGAGGAGGAGGAGGAGGATGATGATGAGGAGGAGGAGGAGAAAGAGGAGGGCTCGAGGGTTCGAGTCCGGTGCGGGCAGGTCTGGCACTAGCGGGCAGGCCAAAGGAAATCAGGAGAGCCCGAGCTGGCGCGAGCCAGTCCGAGCACTTCGCCAGCCACTGGGATTGGCGAGGTTTGGGGGGGCCAATCCATCCTTGTCAGGCACCCGAGCGGCTTTGCACAGGCTGCACTCGGGTGCCCCACGGCATGTCCCCCCCCCCGCACGCAGAGAGCAGGCGGTTGCTCAGCGCGCCTGGGCAGCAACCAACGGAGCGCCAGGACAGCCACAGACGTGGCGCTCAGTCCGAAGATCCCGACTCCACCCCCCCGTCCGAACCCGCTTCCACCCCATGGTTGGCCGCGCCCTCCAAGCGAGGGACAAAGCACCGCGCGGGGCCAAGAGCTGAACCAGCACCGCGCGGGGCAAAGGGGCTCGCGGCGACGGCAAGGGAACGGGGGCCGAGAGCTCTGAGGAAAGCATCGCAATCTATTGGGCAAAGTGGCTCAGGAAGTCAAAGTCCTTTCTGATGGCTGCGAGATGCTGCCTCGGAACTTCAGCCGCAGTCGTGGCAACCGCGTGGGGTTCGGACCCTTCTCAAACGAAAAAATCAGCCCACATATTGCCAGGGAAATCCTGAATCTGCTGGGCCGTGGACAGGGCCAGGATATCATCCCAGTCACGGCGGGCTTTGATCCACTTGAAGCGGGGGCGCGCCTGTCGGTCCACATACAGCCCAAAAGTATTCCGCCAACATATATGCATGCTGGGCTGCTCCGCTGGCCAGATTCTCCAACCAACTCAGTCCTTCGTTCGCAGCCTTCAGATGGTCTGAAACCACCTGGGCGTCGGGCCCCCCCCCCGCAGCGCCTGGTAAATCGCGTGCCGTTCAGCCCTGGGCACCGACTGGCGCTGGCCTGGCAGAGCCCCGTAGACGGCCCGAATCGGGGGCCCAGCGGGCCCCAGCTCAACCGCAGCGAACCCACGCCGTCTATGCTCTGTGCTGGAGCTCGCCAGCCCGGAACCATCGGTATAGATGCGCCTCCCCCAAGGTGCGCTGGCGAGCCCACGGGAGTGGACGGGGAGCTCCCGGGGCACGGGTGGGACCTTGACCTGCTGGAAGGGAAACCCATGGGCCAGCTCAAGAGTGTCCCAGTCGGGCATTCCAAGCCCCGTCATCCCTTCATCTCTGAGCAAACCACTTCATTCCGCGACGTCGTCAGGAGAGCTCGCGTCATTCCTACTGGGGCAATCCAGGACTGGCGTGCAATCGCGCAGTTGGCGACCTAGCGTGCCAGCCCCCTCCCTGCCGAACAGGTGGCAACTGTCGGTCGCGCTCAGACCGGCAGTTTTCTGGCGTGCGGGGGTTCGCATCGCAGAGCCTATCATGCAACGAGCGGCTCACTGTCGCTTCTGGTCCGAAATCTTCAGAACCCCGTGGCGAAGGCCTCTGACCCAAACGTCCTCGGATCCAGGCGCTTCTGGAACGTGCTGCAAGCCCCGGCGTGCCTGCCGGCGCGAGATGCCAAGCCGACGGGCAGCGCGCGCATCGCGCGGATATTCGCGAAACAAGTTATGCACCTGGCCTTCGTCGCTGATGATAGTGTGAGCTGAGCTCATGTGCCGGCCTACGCGCAGCAAGCGCAGCAAAACGGCTGAGACGGGGTCTTTGCGACATCTCCAGGTAGGGTTGGCCTTGGCGCGGCTCGACGCAACAGTCCTGGCCCTCTGGGGCCTGTCCAGGGAGGTTTTGCCGCCCCAAAGCATCAAACAATATCGGAAAATGAGAGGGGCGCAAGCATCGAACGCAGGATCAACATGTGCGTCACGCTGCGTCGAGAGCCGCGCTGTCAGTGCCCCCGGGCGCTTGGCCCCACTTGAGATGTTCGTGATTCCAGAGACGCCCGCCCCGCGAGCGCCCGCGGGGGGCGCCCCCGTTCGCTGGGGGGGCCCGGCCTTGCCAGGCGCTCCACGCCTAAGCGCAAGTAGCTTGCGCCTCTGAGACAGCGCGCCCTGAAGCCTGTTGCGCTCCCGTGTGTGCGACGCGCGCCCCGGGGAGATGCCGTGGCCAAGATTTCTCATTTGCCGATGGCTTTTCAGGCGCATGATTCTAGCTGTGGGGCCTGCCTTGGCCGCCGCAAGGATAGTGGATGCAGCGTATCCGCTGTCCTTGACCTGCAGGGCGAGCCCCGGCCGAAAATCTC